TGTCGGGAAAATTTTGTTTAGTTTGCTCGAGTTGGAAGAATTTCATACGCGATTAAAAGCGTCCGCGATAAGTGGGAAACCCTGTATGTCAATGAAATATATCAAACTAGCTGAAGTACCCGGCGTTGCTTGGGGAAATTCAATATTTCAGACAGGACAAAGTGGAGAACGTTATCCTTATGATTTCCGATGAGTTACCAATCTTGGAGGTCACAAAATGCGATCAGACCCCCTTCCCTTTTTTCAAACTTTATTTTTAGGGGGTTTTCGAACTAAAAATTGTATTTACATTTTTAAGCATTTAGTTTTTCGTTTTGTGGGATTCTTTAATTTGAGATACATGATTTGCATTTAAATGCAATTTATATTGCAAAGCCTTTGATTTCATATTATTATTCTTAATGCAAAGATATTTCATGCGCGATGTTTTTGGTTTTCCCATTAGGGGAAAAGGCATACAGATTCTTTCCACTTCCAACACTTGAACACTACATAAAGTTGGCCATGAGAAAATCAAGGAGTCTCCAGATTAACGCCTACAGCCTGAAGCGACTGCCTTCTAGCTTTATTGATGCACATCGCAAAGGCAAGACACTCCACGTACCTTGGCCTTCCCAGTAGCAGCACATATGAGCCTGGAGATTTGACCTGACAGGGCCTTTAGTCCCACGCATGGTGCATCCCGGTTACACATTGAGGATGAAGCAGCGCATCAGGAGTTCCCATTCATTTCTCACGAATTTCAATTTCTCCTTCAAATAGCTGCGAAGATCTCACTTCGTCTCTCTTCTTTTGTAGTAGCACATGTCTTTCCTCCTCCACCCCCCTAAAATTCAAGTCATGGAGGTTTCTAGGCACCTTTCTGGCTTCACTTCTTTTCTATTTGAGATAATTAAGTGGGACTCCCAAGCAAAATAGATCTCTTTCATGGAAATTTTTATTCACGTAATTCGTGACAGTTAATAATTTATCGAAACATTAAAAAGTGGGATTGTGGGATATGTGGGATTGGCAATGTACACGTATGCGTTACGTCTTGCAACATTCTCTAACCAGAGAAATGCATGAAGCAGAAAAAATCTGGAAACTGCACACATTTTTCGGCTCCGAACGTTTCAAAGCCTCGGTGTACGGAGGATTTGACGGAGATGAAGGTCACACTACAGAAACCTTGGAAAGAAATGTGGAAGGGGGGATATTGATTCCGACGAAAGCTGGGAAAGAAAACCGAGATATACGAAAAGAAGCTATGGCGCTGGAGGGGAATCACGAAGCAGGGCCGAGTGACAGGGGCCCAGAATGTATCATTTATTTTTTATTGTTGCCGATGAGGTCGTTCAACTTCCCGGATTGATTGAGGAGATTCGGTTATCGTTAGAACGCGAGTTCTCGTAGAAAAGGCGTCTAGGAGGTTCAAGTCGATTAAAACGAGTACAGCGAAAATAAGTTCGCAGGCAAACGGAACGAGAAATTCGTCATTGGACGGGATTTCCGATAGGGATGCTCCCCTTCGGCGCTCTGCCAACCAGGCCAAGACATCGGGTTCCACGCCTCAGCTTCATGCACGACGCCTTTCACCTCGCGTGGTTCTATCTTTTAAACTTTATTCATTCCATTTTGTCTGGCCCATAGAGAGTATATAAATGGAGGGGCCTCCCCTATGGCGCATGGCGCTGCACCATTTCAGGCGCGGCCGCCATCTTACTGAAGGCGCGCGAGCAAGGAGTTGATAGCAGACACATGAAAAGGGGGGAGGGGGGGGAGGGCAAAAGAGGCAACTTGCCCCGGGCTATTTGCCTGGGGACCTCCACGCCGGGACCCAACCGATCACGCTGTTCATTCTCACGTGCGAGACTTCACCAAGATGGCGAAAACACTATAAGTCTCGAGGCAGCGAAGGCTTCTCCAGAGACATCTATATACACTCTATGGCCTGGCCCCAGTATGCCGTGTGACCTTGAGCCAATCTGTCGATTCCATGCGTGTGCCTCTCGCCTGTCTCACCAGCAGGTTCGAACTCGTGTTTGCAGGAACGCGCTGGGATGTGCCCGTATTGGAAGTACCTCTTCGCCTGCCTCTTTAACTGAGACAAATGGAAGAAAGCATCAATCGATCAAATAATCCCAAGTTTAGTCATCGAATGCTATTACTCGTACTTTCACCTCTACGGTAACTTAAACGGATATATTGACCAAAGCGACAAGAAAATCGAAAATATTCAGTCTGAATGACTGGAAAAAATCGAACTTGCCCAGCGTAACGGAAAGAACCACTTAAATCTATTCTCACTGCATCGACTGAAAGAGAAACACCTCCTCTCAGACCGAGACGAGCCCACATTCCCCTTGGGGCATTTCAGTCTAGACGCAAATGAACAAAATTGTTTCCCTTCTACTGCGTGTCTACTCGCACATGGCCTTGAGAGGTTCTCCTTTTCTCCTTTTCAGTTGTCGCGCTCGTCTGGACGCGAGAGGAAGGGAGTCCTATCTGAATGGGGTCGTTATTTCTATGTCGAGGAAAACACGAAGGAATTATGTACGCCTGCACTGTCTTGTTCCTTCCTTTATTCTACCCCCTCAACCGATTATGATGACTTAATAATCATAATCATTATGATTGATGCATTCGCTTGGTATGCCAAGTGCATCTGGGACCGTGTGCAATGAAAATGCGATAGGACGTCGCCAAACATTGAAGTGATATGAGCTTATCGAATTTTAATTTCATTGCGTTCAGTATTGCCTTTCTATTTATCCAGGCATCGACCAAGCCTGTTTATTGTATATTTCTCGCGTTGATTTCGATTCTCCCGTGCAAGGTGCCGGCGTATATGATTTTTAAAGTCGCCTTTGACTTTCTCACATCCGTATTAGACTTGGAAAACCAATGCACATCACACCGTGAAGGCTTTCTTCCCAAGAATCTGGTGGGCAGATTTCCTCCCTCTGTGCACGATGGACGAGGAATCGGACCTCGATTTCGATCCGAGAAGCCTGCACTACTGCGGAATCGAGAGCCGGAACCGAGGCGTTCGCATCTGGCACCTACGGTAGTCCCATGGGAATCGAAACAACTCACCTTAGGTATTCCGAATTTCCGTCGAGTCGGACAGGGTACAGATCAATCGGTATTCGACGACCTCGGTTCTTCTCGGTAAACATCTACATTCACTTTTTAAGTCGTGCTCCACGCTTCTTCCTTCGGTGCACTTCGGCGTCGCATGCGGTGACGCTCTCTCCTGTAGACGCGAATAGCACTGCCTCAAGGTACGTTATTAAGGCTTGCTGTGTTCGTCTCATCTTCACTGCTCCTTGTCCTCACAGAAATTGCAACAATTTCTGTGAGGTGTTCGTCCTTGCCCAAGGTTTGAATGAACTGGTTCTTTCAGATTTATTTGCCTTAATGTGATGTTAGTGATTTCTTTTCATGTATTGCGACCTATATTACGCTCCGTTAAGAAAAAAATGCCGGGCGAATAAAAGGCGTTCTTCATGGGTAGGTTGAGCAGGACTTAACTACAGAAAAAATATGAAAGTGACCTCATTCATGAAAGTAGGCCGTACAGTATGTGACCTTGGCACTGGCTATAGCGTATTTTCGGCTTCATCACGATGTCCCAAATATGTTTCAGTCAACTTGAACAAGAGTAAAAGATTCGTTTTGCCAAGAAAAAGATGAGGTCTGCGTATGTAATTTTAGAGAAGTATTTATATTGTGTCCTAATTATGCCGTTATTGCGTCTTTCAGAGCGAAGATGACGCGTCAATCGGCAAAACTGAGGCAAACACGAGAATCATATCATCCAACCGACTTTTTCTCAAATGAAATCATGATCAGAGAGCGTTGTAAACACCTAAAAACGTGTGAAATACGCAACATTTCAAATCGGAGTTCCTGTTCCCTTGTAAAGGATGAGGAGTGATAGGAGTCCCATGAATCCATTCTTAGGAACAATTAAACCCATTTCCATTAAACCCTTGACAGTTAAAAAAAGTTAATGAATACAAATCTGTTTCACGCTCTAAACGCGAGTATTATAGATATGGGAAGTCAGAAATCGATAGATATACTGCCCACTGAAAACCAAGCCGAGTAATCCAGGGATACTACAGGGTAATAAGCCAGCTAAAAAAGACTTCACCCACTATAAAGTGGGTGAACCTAAAGAAGCTGCAAAAATCTCACGCACATTTTCATCTGTTACTCACATTGATGATAATTTTGGCTGGCACAATACTTCAGTCCACATTGATACTTGGGTCAACCTGGAGAGGGCCACATTCAACAAAATCATTTATTCAAAGTCAACCGTTTAATTTTCTGCTCGACTTCCAGGTCGAGGTACTTTCAGCCTGGAGATCTCATTTGAAAATTAGCGGCAATCGAGAACTGTTTATACCAGCTGCATCTGCAGATACTTCAACCTGTCAAAGTCACCAAAACTGGCACTACTTGGAGTCTGGGATTATGTGAGCATGCATGTCCTAGGTACTGCTTTGTTACAGCTTGTTTTTTAGATCAACAATCCAATCCCAACCCCCCCCCCCCCCCCCTTCATTTTCCGTAGCAGAAGTAGTAGTAGTAGACGTAGAGGTCATTTAATCCATTCGAATATTGGAACTTTTCGGCCTATCTGACCTAGAATTCTTCTGCTTTAGCCGACAACCCCATACCTTCGTGGGTCATAGGTTAAGCGGAAGGACAAGGGACGATGCTTGTGGATACGAATGGGTTAATAGAGTGTGCCTTGGCTTCGATTTTATTTTGATGAAGATGTGGAATAAGCGTAACTAAACGATTGTTTGATCTAATTCCAGCCTGATCTGGAGATTGCTCGTGGCGAAAGTGAAACCAGAAGATAGATGGGATGTGTTGGAGGGTGTTTTGTGTGCCTGGTGCTTTCACGCTGCTAAGAAAAATGACATTCGTCTTCAGAGAGCCCCTTCACATCAATGGAAAATAAGGTTCCCCATTCCCCACCCAACCAAGATTGTCACAAAATGGCAAACAGTCATTGTCATGAGTGCGTGTTGCGTGGCGACAAGGAAGTCAATGCAGATGCAACAAGATGGAAGCGTCTGCGTCAGAGCCTGTTGTGCCCGCCTGGAGTCAAGCTGGGACGTGCTTGTACCTTCCTCTTGGTCTTCCCTCTTGTCTGGATTGCTGGATATGGCCTGACTGGTCACGAGATGCTCCTCGATGGGAACCTTTTCAAGATCTACATCATTTTCTTCGCTTGTCTTCTTGGTGGGTGGTTGATGGAGATCATCCGTCTCCCAGGTCTCCTGGGAATGATAATTGTCGGAATGATTTTTGGTAACCTGAAGCATCAGATTAGTTGGATGGAACACCCGATCCAGCATGGCTGGTCTGGGAAAATCCGTGGTGTTGCCTTAGTCGTAATTCTCATACGTGCTGGACTTGGACTAAATCCTGAGCAACTGAGACGTTTGAGTCTGATGGTTGCCCGACTGGCGTTTGTGCCTTCCACCGTCGAGGCGATAATAGTGGCATGCGTCTCGAATCTCATTCTCGGCCTCCGCTGGGCTTGGGCTTTCACGTTGGGCTTCGCATTAGCAGCCGTTTCCCCTGCAATTGTGGTTCCCTACATGCTTAAAATACAAGAAAATGGCTACGGTGTCGACAAGGGTATCCCGACGTTGCTGCTTGCAGCATCGTCCTTGAATGATGTCTTCTCTATCTGGGCTTTTCTGGTCTTCCTTGGTATCACATTCTCTCAGCGTTCTTTCGTCATGCAGACCATCATGCCCTTTGTCGAGGTGCTTCTTGGTTTTCTATATGGCATCGTCATTGGCATCATTCTCTGGTTCATTCCTAATCGGAAGGACAACTTCGCATTGGCTGAGATTCGATCCATCTTGCTGTTAATCGGTGGAATTGCGTCTTATTTTGGAAGCATTTCGATCAAGATGCATTCAGCTGGTGCTCTGGGAGCACTAACACTGGCGTTCGTTGCCAGCTACGGGTGGCGGCGGCAAGGCTACAAGCAAGACAATCCAGTCTCTCTCAATTTCAATTTTCTGTGGTTTATATTTCAGCCTCTTCTCTTCGGCCTCGTTGGAGCCGAGCTTGACTTCCTTAAAATAAAGTTAACCACAGTCAGATACGGCCTCATCGTCATCTTTATTGGCCTCTTATTTCGGTGCTGTGGTGCCTTCGTTGTACTTTCAGGAGGTAATTTGAATGTCAAAGAGAAGTTATTCGTAGCATTTTCATGGTTACCAAAGGCCACCGTGCAAGCAGCAGTTGGTTCCAACGCCCTCGACGCAGCCTTGGCCCTGACTGATCCAAATCCCCAGCATATCGAATGGGGTCAGGACATCCTAACAATTGCTGTCATGGCCATCCTCGTTTCAGCTCCGATTGGGGCAACCTTCATTAGGTGCTGTACCTCCAGGTTACTGGAGAAGACCCATGGCATGCAAACTGTCAATAGTATTTGTCAGATAGTGGATGAAGTCTCTCCTACTTCAGGTCGGTCTCCACCAACAGCCCCGTCAATGCGTCAGATACATCCATCGCCATCCCCGAATGAGTCTGTTTCAAACTTCTCGAACACTAAACTCTAATTATTTGTGGAATTTATGAAGAAAAATTCAATCTAGGAGAGCTTCTAATGAGTTTGTCTGGTACGTATTGACTTCGTAATCGATATAGAAATCATTCAGGCAAAAATATAGATCATGATGAAAGGAAGAATTCATATGACGCATTCCTTTATAAATAATAGGAAATTGTTGACGGTAAAATCCAAGGTTCAAACCTTAAAGCATAAAACCGACCAAATAGCTATCGTATACAACTTACCACTGTAGTTTTCAGAATCCAGTTGTCGCCTTACTTTCCTGGAAAATGGAAAGAAATGAAAAAGGAATTTATCAAATGAAGAATATACAGGGTGTAACAAAAGTCAGGAACCATCAATTCTAAACATGTTCTAGAAATGATGTGAGGCTGAAATTTGGTAAACGAATAGATGTTAGATTGCTGACTCCGAAAAAAATCCAACTTTGGAGGTACATGCCGGTCCATTTCGGGGGGACTGACTTAGTGAGCCTGGGCCTAACCCAAGTACGGACGCTTAGGCCCATGCCCTTCTCATGCACTTCTTTAAGCGAAACTGGAAGGAAAGTGAATTATTGCTAGGTTGCCAACTCCAGGGAAGTCCGACCTACGAGGTACATGGCCTTGGGGCACTTTTTTTTGCAGGGGGGGACTGATTTAGCAAACCTATCCCTAACCCACGGACGGATGCTCCGTCCTACGCTACCCTCACATATATATTGATTCCAGGGAAAGGGGTTGGCAAAAATTCTCAAGGTATTGGTTTCAGTAGGCCTATGCCTAACTCACTGAAGGACGTGCAGCCTTACGCCACCTTCAAGCCCATATTTTCGCAGCCAAAGAAATGTGTATTGATACATCAGGATTCAATAGATTTCAATAGGCTTCTACGAATCCCATTGATTGACTGGCAGGCCTAGACCAATCTTCTCCAGAATCCTGTTCCTGGAATTAGTTGGCAACTATAGCAATCGTGGCTCTATCATGGGGTTCGGAGACGTGTTCGTGGAGACCGTAATGTTAAGTGGATCATGAGCCTACCTCGAGTTTCCTAGACAAAGTTGTGTATGCCCATATCTGTCTTAAGGTGGTACGGGAAGGAAAATCGATGGGTCTGGGATTCAAAATTTTATCCGTAATTCTTA